ATATGAAATAAATAAAATAAAGTTAAGCTCGTCGAAGCGAGCTAACATTTGGTGCCGTGACCAGTCTTCTTCTAATTACTCCATCGAAGAAGAACCAATTCGTCACATCTAATTCTGTACATCAGTGCATTCAACAACAAGACAAACCCTATTTGAAATTATGCACGGACGACAAATTACTCTTCCATTTAATCGACAAAATGGAATTATTTCGCTCGCACAAAATCCAGAGTACAGTCAAAAAATTAGAACATATCTTGAAAAATTAGTAAATGAAGCTCGAAACAATATTATAAAAAATCAACAACAATATAAGGCTCGATATGATTTACATAGACAAGATTTATTATTAAAAGTCAATGATTTAGTTTTAGTCAAAACAAGAAATGTTAGAAACAAATTTGATATACGATACGAAGGTCCATTTAAAATTATTAAACAATTAGGACATAAAACGTTCATTGTTCAACATGTAAAAAAATTAACATTAACAAAACAAGTAACAAAAAACAAGTAACAATCGATATTATCGATCCTTTGGTGGAACGATGGAATTTAATTCAATAACACACATCTTCAAAAAAGGGGAAAGATGTGGGATATGTTAAAATAATCTGTAAAGTATGCGTATCGATAAAAGAAAAAAGAATTTATATATATTTACACACGTATATATTAAAAATTATTATTTAAATTAATTAAAAATGATTGAGTTTGATTCAGCAGTCCATGCCGGGGAGACAGAATTTCACCTTCTCACTGACAAGGAGGGGCTGTCAAACTCAAAAATTCATTTTAATTGACTTTATTTTATGTATATGATTCATCGAATAAATATATTATATGCGATGACTCATCCATCAATCACAGCGCATTATGATCAAGGCACTATTACAGAAGTGGCCATACTGTACAGTGCGAACAATAATGCACGTGTTCCAGATCGATAACTTTACTATAATCAAAACAAGAACATGATAAATACACATCTACCGCATCAAAGATCGTCAACATCATTTACCACAACAACAAAAAAAAACAAAAGCAAGGACAAAACAAATAATTCGTTATTATCAAGAAGTTTTATTGATTTGACAATCAATTCACAATTATCTTCGTGCTATTGATTTTAATTTTTTCTTAATTAATGATGACGCTAAATATTCAACTGGTATTCATGAACAAATGTTACATAGATAAAATATAGTGATTATTTTCAATTTATACGTAAATTATCAAAACATGATTTGACTATATTAATACATGATATAATGTCGAAAGAAATAAAAATGATAATGATGGGACATCATATAAATGATGTACAAAAGACGCATTAAATTTTATATTTAATACACATTTACATACACCTCATCGTTTACATAAAGATAACTTACAACAATAGACACAATTATTAGCACATTTATTTACAAAAAATCCAACATCATTATGACTTTTTACGATTTATTATTTGAAAATGATCATGGATTAAAATTATATTTATTTGATTATCTTATCGATGTCATACGTTATATAGTTGAACAAATTGATGAACTTAGTCTTGATGTGTGTGGACACACATCTAACATAAGAGGGGAGGAATGTTAACGGTAATTCATACTACGCCTGCCCTCGATCCTCTTTCTCTTTCTCTTTCGCTTCTTCTTTCTACTATATTGTTATTGTTATTGTTGTTTCTCCTTCTTTCTCTCTTGTTCTTCTTCTCCTCTCTATGGATATATATATACCTAGTGATTTAAGGACATTTTTGAAGAGATTTAACATATGAAATAAATAAAATAAAGTTAAGCTCGTCG